TTTTGTTTTTACATTATAATTGCCAGAAATGCAGCACAGGTTGTGAAAACCTTGCCTGTATCATACACAGGAATTAGGGGAAGGAAACCAAATGAAGTTCTTCCTGAAAATAATAGTGTTTGATGCTTGAGATCTTAAGCCTTCTGTCCTATGGGCTCAGCTATGCTGTTTTGTTGCCTATGTTATTAAAATTCCATAGTGAATCAAGAAACATTCATTTGACATGCATTGACAAGTGCTATTTCATTTGAAATCTTGGAGGTTGCAACACCATCTTATCTGAAAAGTTCCAGGCTGAAAGAGACTGATTTAAGCTCAAACTAGAGACTTCAGTACTCACTTCATATTTTATCCAGAAAATAACTGGGACAACAGGGATCTGAGTGACTTCAGTTACAGCTGTTTGTGCCAAATGAAAGGCAATGTAATCAGTTGCTATGACAAGCAGCATCACCACCAGGACTAATGTGAGAAGAAAAATGTGTCTGAGAGAAGCCTTGAGTTCTTTTTGGGACAATTTGAAGCTGGTTGGTTTAATTAACTTCCTGGATGTGCAAATCAGCAAATCAGTTGTTTTGTTTTCGCGAGCCAGATCTTCCAGCTTTGGGGTAATGTAAATATTATCAAAACAAATATCTGTAAGATAACTCTTCAGGTACCATGTTGCTTGGAAAAGGAGATAGAAGAGAAAAAACCCAGCTGTCACCCGGTTGGTCAAGAGTATGATCTTCTGGACCAGCTTATCAGCATATAAAAAATCTTCCTGGATACTTTGGCTAGTGTTAACCATTTTCTCATTGAGTTGGAAGATATTACTATGATTTTTAAATTGAACATGGCTGTTCCTTGAACTCAGAAATTTATCTGGCATGTTGTCAATTATGCTTTTGAGAGAATGGCTGAAGTCCCAGGAAGCATTACCCAACAGGAGCATTGAGGTCACAAGACTGTCCATGGAATTCTTGCAGGTGCACTTAATGATTTTCAGGATTGCTTGGATATTGCTCATAATATTTGGGATAATGTTGATAGCTACTATCATAAAGCAGGCAGATAGCAGCAGCCTTCGCCCTTGTCTCGTCCCTAATGTAGGCACAATTATAGTAAACAGGCACCGGACTGGATGCACCAAAAAGAGGACTAAGAACACCAGGAAACTAAGGACAGAGGATGCCCAGGCAGAAAACTGGAAGGAATATTGCAGAGAGGAAAACATCCAACAGTGGAAGAGGCCTCCGACAGATGCCGCAATGCAGGAGCAGATCACAAATAAGGATAACAGTTGGCTGTGGCTGGATGGTAATGGTATGGAGTAAGCAAGCCAGATATCCACCATGAATTCTTGTATCTTTAGGAATTTTATATCCCAAATGTAGGTCCAGATTCCCAACCTGTGCCAGTAATGAATAAAGTAGTTTCAATTGCTAAAAAATGTTTTACGCACATATATACACATATTCCATTTACACTCACACACATCTGTCTCTTTATATAATAATAATAATAATAATTATTATTATTATTATTATTTTTATTTTTATTTTTATTTTTATTTTTATTTTTATTTTTATTTTTATTTTTATTTTTATTTTTATTTTTATTTTTATTTTTATTTTTATTTTTATTTTTATTTTTATTTTTATTTTTATTTTTATTTTTATTTTAAAAAAATTGGAAGAGACCTTGGAGGTCATCTAGTCCAACCCCCTGCTCAGGCAGGAAACCCTATACCATTTCAGACAAATGGCTGTCCAGTCTTTTCTTAAAAACTTCCAGTGTTGGAGCATTCACCACTTCTGGAGGCAGGTTGTTCCACTGGTTAATTGTTCTAACTGTCAGGAAGTTTCTCCTTAGTTCTAGGTTGCTTCTCTCCTTGATTAGTTTCCATCTGTTGCTTCTTGTCCTGCCTTCAGGCGCCTTCATGCACACATTCAAGTTTGAATGAGAATTCTGAGAAGGTTTAAATTTAAAACATATATTTTGAACATGAACTCCTTTGTATCTCTAAGAACTGATATTTTATGGTTTTGTGAGGCCATAATTTAATCATTTATATATTAGACTTACAAGTAGTCTTCAACTTATGACCATAATAGAGCCTACCCCTTATGGTTGTAAGTCATGATGATTATAATGCAGGTTATGTGACCAACCTGGTTTTACAATCTTTTTTACAGTGGGCGTTAATGCCCTGATCGTAAAACATACACTGCCTTCATTAAGTGAACGTCGCAGTCATTAAGCAAACCAATTGTTTGGTATGGGCTGGTTTTGCCAAAAAAAAAACCAACAACCACCCAGAAATACATGTTGGTTTTTGGAAAAAATGTTGTAAAATTCAGTCACATGATTGCTGGGAGAGGCACAGCTAACAGAAATATGGAACCGAGTCATAAGTACCCCTAAGGAGGTTCAGTGTAACTTTGAACAGTTGCTAAGTGACCACTCGTAAGTCGAGGACTACCTACATTTTCCACCTTTCATTCTGGAGCTCTAATGTACATTGTGTTCCCTTTCCTACTTTTCCTTACAACAACCCTTGAGGTAGGTCAGGCCAAAAAACAATGATGAGTCCAAAGTCACCGAGTGAGCTTTGATGGCTGAATTGGATTAGAATGTGAGTCTCCTTACAATCTAGCCCAATACTTTACCCAATTACAAATAATACTATTGTATGCATTGGCCACCATAAGATCTTAGCAAATACCAAAACAAAATTGTTTGTAATTAGCTGGTCAAACAGAAATACTATTGCAAGGCAACCATTCAGTTACAATCAGATACTGTACTATTAAATCTATGCTTATTTTTAGACTGGTTTGAAAAGAAATCTTTGTGCAGTTACTTTGCACTGCTCTGTACATAATATACAATTACAAAGTAATCTTTTCAAACAATAAACTGAAACTCATTTGCACTGACTTAAGAATAATATAGGTTATGTTAATACAGCCATTCAACTCTCCTCTATATTACCCAAATCTTTTTAATGAAAGCATTGTCAAAATAAGGTTTAACAGACCTATATTTTCTTCAATGGAATAGTTCTTACTAGCAATGCCATATTTTTGTTTCCTTTGTTAACACAAGGGAGGGTATTATAGTATATAAATTAAAATGTTTATTAAAAAACTACACATACCCAGTTTTATGAAGAAGTCCCCAGATCCTTTGGAAACAGTCAGCAATCCTGAAAATATTCATCTTATTTTAAGATTAAAAAAATAAAATAAATTAATTGAAACCCAACAACAAAATGGGATAGAACCACCCAAAAATTCTGGGTTTAGATAACAAGTTATTAAATTAAATTTAAAATGTTAATTTTAAAAAAAATAACTTTAACTGTTCATTTAAATTGTTAATCCAATCTGCAGTATATCCTAAATAAGAATACATAACATTTCCTCCATTTGTGCCTGTCCCTGATTGAATATCGTACCAAGAATATTAAACCTAATATTAATAATTATAGTTCTAGAGGATCTCTGCCAGTCTGTGTCCTTGTGCTAGTAGTATATTGTTAAAACTACACTTAGTATTGCAAAAGTAGATTCAGAAAAAGCAGAAGTTAGGGAATATTTATTTTTACACTATACTGAGATTGGTCACTAGGAATTATCACTGAATCATGGTGGTTAACTTAATCATCTGATTGCTACCTACTTTAATACATTTATGCAATGTGTTGTTTTATTATTGATATTATTTTAATTGCTGATTGGTAGCTGCTCAGAGTTTGATATAAAATGGGTGGCTATATAAATGATTTAGATAAATAAATATTTTGATATTAGTGAACATATTTTGATGGCACTGTGCTCACTTAGAAATCATGTTCCCAAATTTAAAATATCCATTCATTCAATGCATTATACCAATGCAAAATTCAATCAGTTTTTGGACATTAGCAAGAGATCAATGATAAACACAACAAGTACACAATAATAATTATTATTTAATTTCCTAATTGTTTTCTAGTTGCCCATATCTCAAAAACAGTATCAGAGAGGTTTTAGAGCAGAAGGCAGATAATAAGATGAGTCTGATTTCTTGTGACTAGCCAAGCCTACCAAGAGAACCATTTTGTTAGAATGTTATGATATGTTCTCAAATTCCCAAACTGCTTACAGTCTCCAAATATTTGCCCCCAGTATGATCCAAATAACCAGCCATTTCTTAACTTTGGGTCAAACTAGACTTGATAGTGTTCTCATTGAAATCAACATGTTCTGTTAAATCAGTGGCAGCTAAATTAGAACTGGAGGGTGAATATTCAATTCTTTCTGCTTGGTTTATCACAGAATTTCCCACTTGAAAAGCAAACAATATAAATACCAGCTTGAAGAGATATCTTTTGACTGGACTTATGACATAAAATAAAGAGCAATCCTCCATCCTTATGAATTTCTTAGGATACAGCTAGTCCTCAACTTACAACCACAATGGAGCCCAAAATTTATGTTGCTAAGTGAAACATTTGTTAAGTGAGTTTTGCTCCATTTTACGATTTTTTTCTTGCCACAGTTGTTAAGTGAATCATTGCAGTTGGTAAATTTGTAACACGGTTGCTAAGTGAAACTGGTTTCCCCATTGACTTTGCTTGTCAGAAGGTCACAAAAGGTAATCACGTGACTTCTGCACACTGCAACCGTCATAAATATGAGTCAGTCGCCAAGAATCTGAATTTTGATCACATGACCATGGGGATGCTGCAATGGTCGTAAGTGTGAAAAATGGTCATAAACCATTTTTTCAGGGATGTTGTAACTTTAAACAGTCACTAAATGAACTGTTGTAAATCGAGGATTACCTGTACTTCTTAACTGCCATTCATGGTATTAATCCTATATAAAGAGATTAAGAAAAAAAAAAATTTACAAGATGATGATGAGGCTCAGCTGTTCCATGCTCCTTCCAGCTCAGCTTCCCGTAAGTCTTTTACCCACATTTAGGTGAAATGTTTATTCCATGATTGAGCTAAGAGAATGTTTTTCACATGAATGACTCAGAGAAATATGGAAGAAATAAATACATATATAGTGCCTGAGTAGGCAGCATTTGTTACTAATATTATAATTGTGTAGTTTAATAGAGTAATAACATCCCACGAAACCTTTTTCCTTATGAAACTGCTGAAATCATTTACCTCAAAAACCAAATGTTGAAGAAGTGTAATATCACTCACTTCCCCTTCCTCTTTCACAGAAAAGACAATTTTTCTTTATTGACTATTAATGGAAATTTCTTCTCTGTTTGTTTTAAAATCTTCTTACAGCAGGAATGTACATGACTTTAGGACCAAAGCAGGCTTTGCAGACACTCACCTAGGGAAATAAAGGTATAAAATGGTTGCTGTAAGCTAAGGCATTCATTTTGCCCTCAAAACTTGCTTAAAAAAGCTAAATTGTCTGGCCTCATTCACTCTGAGACTTTTAGACCACATTATCTGCACTCCTTCCTTCAATGGTTACATCGAAAGGAAGTTATACCCCACTTAGTGTGGGAATGGGAATATTTCTCGTTAAAAAGGCCATTCTTTTTAAAAGCCTCCACTTTTTCCATTGGTTCAGCTATGTGTCTCTTCATACTACCTAAAATCATAGCTGATCTCATCAAAAAGCCATTTCCCTTTATAGATGTATATGTGCGTATATACACGTGATGGGTTCTAAAAGCCTGCAAAGAGCAAGAAAAAGGTTTGCTTTTTTATAGATGGAGAGAATTATATTTCAGTTTGTTTTGCTAATAGTTCAAAAATTCTTTTTGCTGAATGCAGGTGGTTTAAGGACTTTTTTGAGGAATCCAAGAGCCAGAGACTAAAGGGGGCTGAGCACTTGGAAGTGCTCTCCTTTCACATGTTCCCAAAGTATCCTATTTATGTCCTATTCTCATGTATCACTTGTACCCACAGTTCTCTCCCTCGAATCCTGGAGAAGCCATTCCAAGCTATTCACAACCTTCTTCCAATAGTAAGGTACTTCTGCTCCTGGGTTTTTTTTTCCAGGTACTTTTAATCTCCTTTTCTTCCCCAAATAATGAAAAAGACTTTTAAAAAAGAGTCACATGGAACCCCTGATTAGCAAACACAATGAAAAACCTATACTGTACTCATTAGTCACAGAATCATCAACACAGAGCATACAGACACAAGAACTCTCTTCCCCAGTTTAAAAATGAACCCCAAACCTCTGCATATTAGGAACATTTTGGAAAGCACTGGTGAGGCATCATAGAGGCAAATTCCCCTACAGCAGGAGTGTCAAACTGCCGGTCCGCAGGCTGGATGCATCATAGTGAAACCGCGCCCACCCCATTGCCGGCAATTGCAAAAAAAAGTTGTAGACACGTCACGTTGTGAGTTTGACACCCCTGCCCTACAGGGAGTTAGCCATGATCTTGGAAGATCTGAGACTCTGGACTGAGAGAGACCAAACTGGGAGTGGTTTGGATCAGGATGGATCCTTGGCTAACTTAAAGACTACCTGTTATTAGGATGGAACAATCTCTAAGAAGAAAAACCAGGCCACAACGGGAGCCACCCATGAGTCTTACTTTCCCTGCAGGGATGTGAAAGACACAAAGTAGAGAAATGAACAATCAGATATTGTAGTGGTCATAGTCCAGATTAAGAACCAGTCCAGCTGTGTTGCCAACCCACTGCAATCCACTGGAAGAGGTGGCTTAAGAAACTGCTAGGAGAAGCATGGGAGATGAGCAGTGTGAAACTGATTCAAGATTAGTTTAAAGAAAAAGAAAATTAAGAAGAGAGAAAGAGTGATGAGGGGGTTACTTGTCTCCATAGCTGCATTTGATCAGAAGACTGAGAAGGCATAGTCATCTTCTTAAGTTGAGGTACATTTCAATCCTATTTCAGTCATAGCCATGATCCATATTTGGATCATAGATTTTTAAGGTGATGCATTTTCTCTCTCCTCTTTCTGTCTCTTGGTAATGCATTAGAGACAAGTAATACTGTTTACATACAAGAGAAGGAGAGAGGGAAAGAGACATATATTCTTCAGCTCCATTTCTATCCTTGCCAGAATTATGACTCAAACCTGCCCTCTTCATAATGAAGACTATTTCATTAAAATTTCAGTAATCTTCCTTGACATTATAGCAGGATTTTATTTTATTTTTTATTTTATGTTCACTCTTTGTTTCCGGCTCAGAGCTAAAGCCATGGATATCATGACATCACTGGTTTTAGGAATGGGTGAGACTGAATTTTTCAGATTTTTTCCCTTTACTTTTCTTTTTGAGATTCTCATGTGCAGAGGCTTGTGGTATCATTTTCAGCCATCCCTAAATGGTAAAATAGGCCTGATTTGAGGAGTTTTATGAATACCTATTTTGCCACACATTTTACATAAATGTATAACAAGAGATGATCTCTAGGCATATGGTTCTGCCACTAAGTATCTAATATGTGGATTTGAATTCAAGCACAGCTGGTTTTATTAGAAGTTAACTAGAGGTCACACACAACCTTATCAAGCTTTATTAGACTTTTTTTGTTAATGCTTTGCTATATCATTTGCTTACATAGTTTGCCCTGCTGACATGTAAATTCTTTTGCAGTAGCTTGGGACATGAATGTTTTTCTCCTTTTTACCCTCTTCCTTTTATTTATTGCAGATAAATAAAATTGTAGAGGTTTGTCAGAGAAATATCTCAATTGATATGACTGTCCTTCCAAGATTTAAAATTACAAAATATTATATGTATCAAATAACTTTGCTTCATAGACTACACAAGTTATCAAGTTGTTTCTTAAATGTAATCCCCAAATTGTCCAAGTCTACAAGAATGAGATCTTACTAGGCATTTGATATAATAGAAACATACATTAATCTCCTCTTAGCAAATTGTTTGAACATTAATGTATATTGATATCCTTATATATAAAAAAACCTAAACCTACGATTTGAAGCATTTGCTTATAGAGTAAAACCTACTAAGAGCTATATCTGCTGCTTGATTGCGCCTCCTTGCAATAATTCTCATATCCAACTGTAGTGCTCTACAATTTCACAACATTTTAGGCTAGTCCTAAATCACAGTCCTGATAACTTGCAATGATTTCTTGGCATAATCTCAATGCCATCTTAAGAAACAATTATTTGGAAATGCTATTTCAGCTATCGACATGTCTATGTAGTGGTGCCCCAAGGCTCTGTTCTGGGCCCAGTGCTCTTCAACATCTTCATCAACAATTTGGATGAGGGGATAGATGGGGAACTCATCAAAGTTGCAGACGACACCAAGCTGGCAGGAATAGCCAACACTCTAGAAGACAGGCTTAAGATACAGAAGGATCTGGACAGACTTGAACACTGGGCACTATCTAACAAAATGAAATTCAATGGTGATAAAAGCAAGGTTCTACATTTAGGCAAGAAAAACCAATTGCACAAGTACAGCATAGGTGGCACCTTGCTCAATAGTAGTAACTGTGAGAGGGACCTCGGAGTCCTAGTGGACAATCACNCTCAGGGGTTGCCATAAAGAAGAGGGAGTCAAGCTATTCTCCAAAGCGCCTGAAGGCAGGACAAGAAGCAACGGGTGGAAACTAATCAAGGAGAGAAGCAATCTAGAACTAAGGAGAAACTTCCTGACAGTGAGAACAATTAACCAGTGGAACAACCTGCCTCCAGAAGCGGTGAATGCTCCAACACTGGAAGTTTTAAGAAGAGACTGGACAGCCATTTGTCCGAAATGGTATAGGGTTTCCTGCCTGAGCAGGGGGTTGGACTAGATGATCTTCAAGGTCCCTTCCAACTTTACTATTATTATTATTATTATTATTATTATTCCTCTCTTATCCATCAAACAAGTAGCTGAGGAAAGGAAACAGGATGGATTTGATTAATGATTTAGCTGGGAATGAGCAGATTCATTCAGTTTGTGAAAGCACAAGGAAATTGGAGCTAATGATTTCCACTGTTTGTTATCTCTCATGAGGCTCCAAACCAGCCTTTTCCCATATTTTTACCCTGGAGAAGCCAAAGTAAATAAATCATTGAAATCATTTTCAGGTATCAAGGAACACTTGTACAAAAATGGCCAAAATACAAAAACTTCACAATAGAATCCACATGTAACATATACAATCCATGAATGGCAGGTCAGCAGCTGAGTCATGGCACATAAAAATTTCAACCACTGCAAGCACCAGCATTGCATAATACAAAATGTTATTTAAAACTTTTTTACAAAAAAAAAAAATCAGGAATTCTCACAGAACCCCTAGCAATCTCTTGTGGTTCTACAGAACCCCAGATGAGAAAAGCTGTTCCAAAGGATTCCCCCCACTTCTCCAGAATTTTGGGGGACATAGGAAACTGCAGAGAATAGAGCTTGCATAGAGTTCCTCTCTCTGCACCCCCAATCCTGTGGTGAATGTAAACCCATCATTTGCAAGCTTGTAATAGACTTCTCCAAACTTGAATCCTAGTAATTGCAAACCGTTGTTTGTCATCATCCTTGATCTAGTGCTAACATTCTCAGATCCCTGATTCAGAGACACATCATAATAATCTCTGCAGTAGATATATTCAATGCAGGTGTCTTCATGAACTCATTTATTTGCTCTCTGGTTGATGACTAGTGCAAATGTTTGTACAAAAAACTTTTTAGGAAATGTTAACCAAAGCATCTTAAGGTGGTTCTCGTTCAGGAAAAAAAGAGACAGAAAGAGCACAAGCTTTTAAACATCAGCTCTCCTTTGAGTAATTCGTCAGTGATCTTGGTGGTCTGCTGGAGTGTTGTCTAAAGCATGTGAAAATTTTTTGTATATATACCATAATAATTGTGTTATGACGACATATTGTGTTATGACCGAGGAACACCGGTTTACTACATTAAAATGATGTTACGACGGACTGTTACGTGTTAGGTTTGTCGTCGTAAGATGTAACACTGGTCTCCAGTGAAATAATACGCATATTTACGTTTCGTTGTCACACATAGTATTTTGGTTGATCGTTAATAAAGGTTTGTTTAGATAGGAACATCTCAAATAATCAACTAAAAGTCATGTCTCTAATTTGGGTGGTTGTGCCATAACAATAAGATGGATGAATGCTAAGTCACATCAGTCAATTGTTTTAAAGCTTATGGTTGAATAGTTATGCTAAAAAGATAATATTTTAGGAGATAAAAGACCCAATCACCTAGAAATGTAAAATAATCAGGGATCTTGAGATTTACAGGCTTATTGTATGATCTGGTATGTGATGGTTTAATTAAAAAAAAACATTTTTTTTAAAATGAGGAATTGTAGGGTCATAAAAAGGGAGTTTATATGTTTACAGTGGTTAATTGCTTTTAGATGCAGAGGAATATATTTTGTAGGATGAGTGACAATATTTATTTTATTTTTATTTAGAAAATTTATATTGCTGACTACTGGCACATATGGCTTAACACAGATATAAAAACACTCTATAAAAAGAGTAAAAATAATAAGAAGAAAAATAATAAAATAATAACCGCCCACCTCCCCACGCTGGCAACAATACATTCAAACTAACCATTTAATGGTATCTAGCCTACTCTGGGTTCCCCAGGCCCGCTGGCAGAACCAGATCTTTAGGGCCTTCCAGAAGAGTGTTAGAGCGGGGGCTAGTCTAAGCTCTGGGGGACTGATGTTCCAGAAAGAGGGAGCCACCACAGAGTGGGTCCTGCCAGATATATCTCCTTATGGGACAGGATCTGCAACATTCCTTGCCTCCTCGCTCTCGTGGGTCAGATAGATGTGACTGGCAATGATATAAATCATTTAAATAAATAAATATTCACTATAGAAAATGATGCAGCCAGGAACTTAAAGAAAGTTAAGGAGGGTCCAACCAGGTTAGTACTCAGATAGAAGACCTCCAGAAATCCTATAACCATATGCTAAACTCGGAAGTCAGAAAGACATCCCAGAAGGCATTTCCATGCTGTTGCCAAGATAATTTCACAGTGCATGTAGATCCAAGAAGTTTAATCCAGCTTCAAAAAAAAAGTCTTTATTATCTATCCAAGAGGTTAAAATGAATGAAAGAAGATATCCTCAGTCAGGAGTTAAACTGTATAATAGTAGAAATATTGGTCATGTTTCAAGGAAGTGTAATTTCTATGTGTTGTTTTGATAATACTTATTTGGTATAGTGACTATTCCTGAATGCTTGCTATTGTGGTACGTGTCTCCAAAAGTTTCTATATCCTGCATTATTGAGCATTCAATAGTCATCATAAATCATATGGTAGAGAAACTTTGGCAGCACTTATCCAACCTAGGCTGAAGTTGAAAATTTAAGCAAAGTTGGACTTCATTAATACCTTAATGGGAGACCACCAAGATAGCACAGGCTTGTTGGCTAGACAGGGAAATGTCATATTAGCTACTGACCAATAGGAGGCACTACACAACCAGTTACATCCCTACTGACCTTTTCTATAAGCTACAGGCCAAGATGTCTCTAAAGCTAAATGCACCACATAGTTAAACTTGTGGATTCAAGAGTTAAACATTGGGTTGAACATAGAACATCTAGCATGAAGAATATCTATGTCTAAGAACCACAATAAGGATGAAAGTATATGCATAGTGCTTCCTTCTGTTCAGTAGCTAATATATAACATCAGGGGCTTTTTTTCTCATAGAACGCCCAGAACAGAGTTCCAGCACCTTTTTTGGATGGAACCTTGTAGGGTAGGCAAGGCAGGTTGTATGACGTGTGTCAGTTCCGGCACCTTTTTTTAAAATATATATATAGAAAAAAAGCACTGTAAGCAAGATAAGGCCCCTTTAAAGGTAGTCAATCTTGATGCCTTTACCTGAGGCTCAGACCAATACAAATCTCAAAATTCTCCAGAAGGAAAACATATTTTAAAAAAGGAAGACATACTTGTATAGCCTCTTTAAGGCAAAGAAAACAAAACACATCTTACAAGGAATGTCAAATATATTATTACCAAGTAAATTACACTGCCAAGAATCAAGCTTGATCACAGGAGCCTTTATTTTTTTAGGGTCTGGGCAAGCACATACAACAAACACAACATGCCAGAAGTAGCTGCACCCGTAACTAAAAATAGGTGGGCTCACTCTCTTCAAAGTAAAAGCTATAAAGTATGATAAATGCAAAATTCCTGAAAAAATAGATGCTAAGTTTATAGAGACCAAATTAAGATGTGTTTTTTTAATGGTTGCATTTGTAATCATGCCCAATACTTAAACATTCAATAGCTAGTTTATTTTCCATGCATGCTTTTACAGAAGTAAAATATTTCAATACTTAAAATTTTGTTCCCCAGTCAGAGGTGCATGGCAGCCATAATATACTGTAAGCTAACAAAGAAGGGTGTTGAATAAGTTCTGTCATTCAAAATGCTGACATTACTGGTGCCTCAGTATTTTTTAAAGCAATGATTTTATTGTTTTTTATCAGTGATTTGTAAGCGTGGTGATTTATCAGTTATATTTCTTCTATGTATTTTTTTAGAAGCTTCATAATACTTGTGTCAAAAAATCAATACAGTTTTGCAGTTTTAGCAAAAATATTTCATTCCCTTAAGGCTACCAGATCCAACCTGCAAAAATCCAGACAACCATTGCCATCGAGTGGTTTCCTGGATTTTTTCAGCCCAGATCTTCTACAATTATACTGTATAACTAGCCTAGTCAACATAATTATATTGTTTTATAGTGTGGGAATTAATCGAAATGTTTATTTGGACAATACATCATGTTCATGAAAAAAAAGTCTAAATATCATCCCTTCCTTGTGACTCACAAACACAGAACGTCTCAGTGACCACAATTATGCACCTTAGGTATCTGGAGTTATTTCAATTAATCTTGGGTACTTGTGATGCTTGGGTGGTTATATGTCAATGATTTTAGTGTAACCTTTTCCTATTTTCCTATTGGTGATATTGATTTAATATAATTTTTATAATAACACAAACCTTAACGAGAGAGAGAAAGAAAGGCCACATATGCTCCAGAAACAGATTAAGTCTAGGGAAGGAATAACAAAATTCATCATAGCAAAAATTCATGGCTGAACTTCCTTACACCCTCTCAGCACAGTTCCTTATATTATATTTTCCAAAGCATGCTTTCAACATTGATCTTATAATTGCTTAAAGTCCATTTCTTATACACACATTTTAATAATATAATACAGAATCAGGTTTACAGTGTTGATTGGAATCAATATTCATACACAAACACTTTCACTGAAAGTACACAGATCATCAATCAATAAAAAACTGATCAGATTTTAACATCCATCTCTCAAATCCAAGCAACAAATAATTCCCCACAAAAGACTAATGGACATGAGAAGAACAACAATCAAAACTTTTACCATTTTCATGATTTGGCACATAGCAGGGGAGATCTATATGGTCACTATGATCTGTGATAAAGCATTCTCAGGTATGATGCTGTCAATAACTAATGCCACCACGGCAGCTTTGTCACTTTACTTCATACCAGATAAATTTCTCCAATGAACAATGACACATCTAAAAAGAAGCCACACCCTATTCCAATTTTGCTCAACCTAAGTCACTTGAAGACGTATGGATTTCAACTCCCAGATTCCCCTAGCTAGCATGGGGAACTGAATTCTGGGAGTTGAAGTCCATACCTCTTCAAGTGGCCAAGGTTGAGAAACACTGCTCTATCCTATGCCCAGCACACTACTATATTCTATATGAAGTCAGATAGTGAATTTGGTGGAATTTAACACACTCTAGAGCAGTGATGACGAACCTTTTAGAGACCGAGTGCCCAAATTGCAACCCAAAACCCACTTATTTATCGCCGGATGCCAGGTGGGCATGGCTCACTGGGGTGTGATCACCTCGATGTTGCTCGTGGAGCGGGACACCTGCGGGGGCCAGGCAAGGTTGGGGAAAATCCAGGGGGTCTCTGGCAGGTGGGGCAGCGGGCAGGAGGCTCGTCCTCCGAGGTGAGGCAAGGCGAGGCGAGGCAGGGCGGGGGAGCCATTGTCGCAGGGCAAGGCGAGGCAGGGGCTGGGGCGGCTGCTGCCTGACACCATCGGCCCCTGCACACAGAGGCCAACAAGTGCATGGGTGCTGGGATGCATCCAGCCACACAGACCTCAGCGAGTTAGCTAGCGGCTGGTTGAAGAGGGACGGTTGCCATCTCCGGGGCATAGCATGCGTGCCCACAGAGAGGGCTCTGAGTGCTGCCTTTGGCACGCGTGCCATAGGTTCGCCACCACTGCTCTAGAGGACAACAATACAAAACAAACATTAATACCAGTTCAGATCTCCTTCATATATTTTGCTATCTACTGTAAAAATATAGAATGATGCTAAGAGTAACTGATCACTTAAGCTTAACGGTACTTTTAAATGAGAGCAGACCAACATTCAGCTTCACTTTCCACTTTATTTTGGATTACCTCAAGTTCTTGCCATTAATAGGATCAAGAATGCACTGAAGGAATCTAACAAGCCTGCAATAAGACATGGTAGGGTCTAGAACTGGCTAGGCTCCCATTTCAAAATCTTACTGTTGACAATTTTTCATAGTAATTGCTTTTTGTGAAAGGATAATTTTAATTAAGAAAGTCTATATTCTTAACTTTTTTCTCCAGTAAATTGTTTAACATTTACTGGACTAATAAGCTTGTGTGTGGCCGTTTTGCAGGACTGCAGGACTCATTTGAACTTGAACGTTGTGTCCCAAAGTTCATGGACATATCCATGGCAAAAACCCTACATAATTTCATTTTACTCATATTTACATGCAATTAACATTAATTATATTTCTAATAACTACTCTCTAGCCATATATTTAGCAATTGTCCCGTTTTATCACATAAAAAACTACAATTTGAGAGCAACTTTCTGGGGTGCTATATCCAATTCTTCCATACAGCTTAACTTCAGATTTTATATCAGTGGAGAAATTGTTTAGAGATCACTGTGCACATATAGAATTTACCAAGAATATAATTAAAATCCCCTAAGTGTATAATTCTGGGAGAAAAGAGTGTACGTATTCAGACAAAATTAAAAAAAAAACCACAAAATGAGTACTTTGCAGTGGTTGGATTCAGCCAGTTCACACCACTTCGGCAGAACCGGTAGCTAATTTTTTGTTGCCCAAGCCCTGAATAGACTTCCGGAAGCGGCATCCACACAGAGAATCGGTTGTTCACATATTTGAACATAACAGCATTTACTTTACTATAAATTCCTATCAATGTTCAACAGAATTGGCTGTCCTGCCAGTTCTGAGTAGCCTTATTTGGCCTTATTATGACTATTTTATTTATAGATGGTCAATAAATATCACACAGAAAATAAGGCTGATAAACACTTTTCTTTCTTATTATATTCAATACTTTCCCACCCATATTTGCACATACATACAAACCCATTCCTTTCCCATTTTATCTTTCTTATCTTTCAAAACAACTCAGATTTATAATTTTGTCAATATTACCTGTCCTCCTGGTTTCTTCTAAAAACCACAGATTAAACCAAGTTGTCACCACCCTAGTCAAACAAGGTCATATGATTTTTTAAAAACATTTCTGCTTTGATAACCTGCTCTGGCTGTATCTGGAAGAAAATATATAGTTTGCAATAGGCTTTCTGATTCAAGGGAAGATACATTGTTTTAATTGCTTCTGTATTCAGATGGCAATATGTTCCTACATTAAATAGCCAGATATTTCTGCATTTAGGCAATGATCATCATTAGTAAAATAAAATAATCACCTTTATTTGAACCAGGAAAGATGTAAAAGATCTTCCAGGCCTCAAACAGTGAAAGACTAGGTGTATCTAGAGCTACTTGATAATTCTTTGAATGAAAATAAAAGTATTTTATGTCTTTCAAATAGTCAATGAATATTTACAAAGATTCGTAAAAAAACCAAACAAAAGTACTTGATGGTCCTATGATGCAGGCGCATCCACAGTATGTCTTCCCATGCATACCTGTATTCAATATTGATTTAATTTAGTGCTCAGATTTGAGGACAGACGTTTTCTCACCCAATCTCAATAAAGTTGCTTTACTTATAGTTAAGTAATAATTATATAAGTTTATTTATAGTTAAGTTCAAAGTAATGTTTTGAGCATGTCCCATTACAGTGGTTGCATTTCCCGTATGGATGTTGGCCCAGGAAGGAAAGCTGCCTAGCTGAAAAATGCTCATAGCCCAAGTATTGATGGCCAAGCTCAGAAGACAGATTCCCATCAAATTCATCAGTAGGCCAGTTCTAGCCTGTAAGGAAAGAAAGCAAAGGGAGAAAATGGGTCATTACAGACTTAGAAAACTGAAGCAGGCTTTAGAAGTCATCAAGCCCAACCCACTGCTCAATCTAAGACAGTTAGAGCTCCATGACCTACGGTACTAGTGGCTGTTCAACCTTGGTCTGGAGAGAGACTCAACGGCATACCAAATATTTCCTTCTATAGTTGGATATATATTTTTTTGGCCATTAGGATATTTCCTCTAATATACAGTTGAAATACATCCATCTTAATTTAGAACTCTTAAAACTAATTCAAAATAATCTGTGCTATTTGTTTTCATGAATAGCTTCCCATCTCATCTTCCAGAAAATCATCTGTGCAACTGCCTTAAGCATGGGATTTCAGACACTGTTTCCTGATCAAGGAAGCCAGGAATATTTCAGTGCAGGAACTTCATGGTGAGTTAAATTCCAGTAACAGTACAGAAATGTATTCAATGAGTTAATGTGGAAAATGTGCATTTTAGGCAATGATGGGAGAGAGAAGGTGTTTTTTTTACTGAATATTTGATAATGAGCTGCTAAAAGATTAACATTCAAATAATTACTATACTATTTTCTATTTTAAAACAAGACAATGATAAATTAATATCCTCAGGTCCTGCAAATCTGATCATTAATAAAATGGGGCAGTTTTGAGTAATAAAACCTCAGTTACCTGCTCAAAGCTCAAACTAGATATTTACCAATCCAAGGAATAATTTTCCCAGGATTATCTGTTTAGACCTTACTTGCTAATGTCTCTGCTCTGGCTGGGATACAGCCATACTATATTGCTGGATACATTCCTAATGCTGTATATATAAAGCTGTATATATTGTGGTTCATTGCACAGTCATCCAAATGTTCAGACTGGGTTTAGCATTTTTGTCTACCTATCGAGTCCTTTCCAAGGACCTGGGATAGGCAGATTCGATGTTTGGTGATATTACAGATATTTTAACTTTAATCACATTTATATTGTCGCAGAATAGAAGCTGTTCTAAGTAAAGCTGCCTTTTACAATTGACTGATGGTGAATTTGTATCATTATCATTATCATTATCATCATCATCTTCTTCTTCTTCATCATCATCATCATCATCATCATCATATTCATCATCCTCATCGTCATCATATGGTGTTGTTACATTAGCCAGGAGATCATAATTCTATTGCAGAGTGGTAGTTTGGCTGCCAATTTACCAGGTCTGTTGTAGGATATGCTTCCCAAGTTACACCACAGCAGGGCGAGCTGGCTTTGCACCAGAAAAAGATGAGCAACTCTTCCTTCAGGGTAATCCCTCCCTTCCTTGGGGCCACTTTGTAAATGGGCACCGAAATCGGGAAGTTCAGAGCTGAAAGGAATCTGAATGCTTTCACATAGCACCAGTTCATCTCCGCACTGAAGTGGTACCTATTTATCTACTCGCATAGAACATGCTTTTGAATGGTTAGATGGACAGAAGTTGAGATGAGTGACGAGAACTCACCCCAACACACAGTGCTAGGATTTGAACCGCAGTGGCTCCCAACCTTTTCTATACCCCACACCCCTAAAATTCTTCTGATATATTCTCACACTCCTTATAAAAGTTTGAAATAACAGCAACAAATTATGCATATACACTATAATTTTGAAAACCCAAGTTTTTGCACCCCCTGGAATATTGTCTTGCACAATATTGTGAGCACCCCTGGTTGGGAACCCCTGCATTAGAGCAAAGACCATCTCCAGCATCATTAAGCCACTGAACCCCCATGCCTCTAAAAAGCAAGGTGTGTAATAGCTACAAAAGATATGGAGATGATTCATGTTCTTCTCCAAAAGTTCCAGCTGGTGTCTACTGTTATATTCTTACAGCATTTTAGTGAATTTGGATAGCAGTGGACAAAAAGGAAATCTCTGCATAATCATAGAACACAGGAACCATCTTGCAGTTTGGGCAGAAGTAAGCAATAGGTTTTGGCCATAGTTTTTCTTTTTTATTATCAATGGCCTCCAAAGGTCATAGAAATAATAATGACAGGATGTGCTCCATAAATTGTGAGTTGCTTCATAGGTCATGAGTTGGTTTTGGAGTGCTTTGGAATTCCTTTTTTTCAATTTATTCCTAAAATTGTTGCCTCATCTGCAATCGTGCCAATGGATTACTCTACCTTAACCTCAGACAAATTATGGGGAAATTTGTAAGAACTGGTTCACATGCAGATATTAGCGTAAGAATATTCATTCCTTTATATTCTTTAACCAGTCCAAAAGAGGAATAATACTTTTATCCAGATGTGCATGTTTATTCAGAATCTTTTGGTGAATACATGGTTTTTGAAAGTCCAAGGACTCCATGTCAACAGCTCTATACTTATGACAGGCTGGTAGCTAAACTGAGAAGCTGACAATGAGGGGGAAGAGAAGAATTGTTAACTGTTTTTTCCCCTATGCTCTTTTCACTAGCTGTATTCCACTGCTATAACGGCATTGGTCACGTTGGTTAATGATCTCTGGAGGGCCCGGGACAGGGGATATTCCTCTGTCCTAGTTCTTTTGGACCTCTCGGCGGCTTTTGATACTGTGGACCACGGTATCATGCTGCGACGGCTGGGTGGGTTGGGAATGGGGGGCACCGTGATGCGGTGGTTCTCTTCCTTCCTCACCGACCGTACGCAGTCT